TGTGTGTGTTTTTTTACCCCCCCCCCCCCCCCCAGCTGCTTGCGCCACAGAAGTTTTTAAAATTGCTACAAGGTGAATCATCTATACGTTTTGATTCCATCTCTGTCATTGTTTTGACATTTCAAGTTTGTTTCATGGCCAGTAAAAGAAAAAAAAACATTTTGTATTTAGATCTTATAAACCAAGCCACATTCCTCAGACATACAACCATTTCTAAAATGTTAAATTTGCAAAATGTGTATTTAAAACATCTTTTACTAGTCACCTAATCTGGTCCTTAATTTATGTATGTTTGTTTTCTTTCAGTGCATATATCCCATTGAATAACTACCTGGTTTTTAATGATGTGGATGGGTTGTATACTTATACGTTTGAAGCAGAGTGAAAGGTAATGATGACATTTTCAATCTTTTATCTAATTACAAACTTTCATTTAATGTCTCTTTTCAAAGACTGAGCTTTTTGAAAGTAAAATATGTGAAATGTTCGCAGTTGTTGTGTTATTGCCTGTTATGATTGACAGGACAACTGTTCAGCATGTAGTCAGGTTCCTCAAAAACTACAGTTTCCACCGTCTGCTAAACTGCAAGAGGTGCTGGAGTATCTGACTGAGAATGCTTCTCTGTAAGTACACGATTTCCATCAACTCTCTCTCCCTGCAAATGATTTATAAATACTGATCCACTTGAATTTAAAATGTTTTTTTTAGACAAATGAAGTCCCCGGCTATCACTGCAACACTTGAAGGCATAAATAAAACACTCTACCTGCAGGTGAGACAGTATCAATATGCTAAGATTCTGAATATAATTATGTTTATTATATTTCTGTACTGCTTAAATCTTAAGGTTTTATTTGTGTTCTTCAGACCAATGCCTCAATTGAAGAAAGAACTAGACCCAATCTTTGCAAAACTTTGAAAGGTGAGATCTTTTCCAGCCATGAGAACCACAAAAGCACAATTGAAATTGAATTCCCAAATGGTCAGAAGGTTGCCAGCATTATCATTTTATTCACCATGTCTGTGTTTCACCATGCTTTGTGTGTATGTGTGTTGAAGAGCTGGGATTGGCTGATAGACAGGAGTTAGCTGTTGCTGATGTCACCATGCCTCAGACTGTCCTCTTCAAGCTCAACTTCATGTCAGAAACATGCAGCATTAAACATGTACACAATTCATTTAATGGCAGAGGTTCCTCAAATTCACCCGCAACAAGTTTATTTGCATCATATACCTAAATACAGTAGAGTCTGTATGTTCTTTGTACTTCAAACTGAAATATCATCTATTGTTTTCTCATTCATTTGTAACTCATAATATATGAGGAATGTTGTCATTTTATTAACCAACAATAATGCAAGGATGATGAGACCATACCACAAAGCGAGTTTAATCAGGTAAGATTCAGTACCACAAAGGTAGATTGGTGTTCACTGGGATAGTAGCAAACACTGCACAATTAACTTACTCCAGTGCAAGTTATGTTCTCAATCACAGGTCACAAACATGTATTTGACCAATCAGCATGTCTAAGAGGTGCAGTGAAGTCACTCATCCTGTATCTCTCACTCCATATTAAAGCACTTTCATTTGAGCTCTAATAATGATCATATTATTCATCGTGATCTCGTGTAAGTGTTTATATTCATGTTTTTTATAATGAACATTGATGAAACCAATCCTATATTGAATTTCTTTAAATAGTTTTGTGGGACAGGCCTCTGGTAATCCTGTGTCAGTTGCAGTTTTTGTTTAGTAGGTAGCACTTTACAGTAAGGTCTCGGTTAACATTAGTGTAAAGTGTTACCATTGTAGTTTTATTTCTGTTGTTTGCCTTCGTGTCTTGTAAAATGTGTTTTAAGTTCATGTATGTACATATTGTTTTTGCAGATGTTTGTGAAAGAATTTGACCTATAATAAATTCTTTGCTGACGTTGTTTAACATTTATTGGCAAATTTATATTTTAGTTGAAATATGAGGAAACTGCGTTATGTAGCTGTATTCACTCTGCTGAAAATGGTTTTTATTTGTTTGCATTAAATGCTTTAATTTTATTTATATTTCAGTGTCTTAAATGTTAATGTATGCACAATTAGTAATGGTAATCAAACACAACTGGACCATAATAAGAATGTTCTACATCAGTAGAGCGCAATTATGACGTGAGGAGTGCAGCAGGTACATATGAACATTCTTTTCTAGAATTCTCTGTTGGGAGATTTGGAGATTGTTGCGGTTGATGTTTTTTGTGCGTTTGGCGAGTTTCTACAGTGATTGAATTTTTCGGCTATTCATTTTCGGGTTTTGACTTGTTTTCGGACTTTGACTATCGGCTTTGGATTCGCTTCGGATTTTGACTTCCTTCCGATTTTGATTCGGTTTGGATTCCCGGTTTGACCTTTTTCTTTTTTTTGACTCACGGCTTCGGACAATCATCGGATTGGTTGACAACTCGGTGACTGAGGAAAAACCCCGATCCTTTCTTGGAAATGGGAGCGGTTAGTGTTTTGCTCATGCACCCACCAGCATCACAGCAGTGAGTTTATACGGCGTTATAAGTTTATGTTTCAAATGATGGTCACATCTTTGTGTGATTGGCTTTATGAATTAAATAAGAATGTTGTTAAACTGTTAATAATAATAGATAATTCTTTAGTTTTGTATATATATAAGAGATTGAAAATGTTTAGAAATGTGTTTGTGTGTTTTAGGAGGAAAGGAGGGTCACGGCAAGTTAGTGGGGTTGGTCAGGGTCACCCGGAAGACATTGAGGCCAGTGAGGGTCACCACAAGACATCTGGGCCAAGTAAGGGTCTCCACAAAACAGCAGAGCTAGTGAGGGTCACTGCAAGAGAATGTGGCTGGCGAGGGTCACAGCAAATCACTGGTGCTAATGAGGGTCACCACAAAGACATTGGGTCCGGTGAGAGTCACTCCAAGACAATGGGGCCGGTGCTGAGGGTCACTCGGATGACATTGGGGTCGTTGAGGTTCACCGCAAAACACTGGAATCAGTGAGGGTCACTGGAATGCACTGGAGATGGTGAGAGATGATGGCAGGTTTGATTATGAAGACACAGGCATGACAGATGCTGATCTTGCTGCCTCAATTAAAAACGTCAATCAGTTGACTCTTTTTTTTATTGATTAAGGCCAGCGCAAGTCTTGCAGGTTAAGGGACCCATGCTGTGTCCGTGTCCAAAATCCAACATATGCTGGTCTGTCATGCGATTTTGTCAGCATGGAGCATTAATCAGTCACGGCTAGTGTCTTTTTGTGTAGCTCTAGCATGCACGTTCTTCTTTCTGTGTGGGATTATGTGTATCTGAGAGGTGGGCAGTGAGTCTATGTGGGTGTGATATCATGGTCATTTTTTGTATGCCTTTAAGCAGGTGGAAATTTGAGAAAATTGAACAGAACTCAATATTTCACAATGTGTTTTCAGTCCAATTCAGTTTTTTGTGATTTTATACGGTCTTCTTATGCTGATCCCTGGAATACTAGATTCCCACTGGTCTGTTGTGGAAAATATATGCAAAATGCTGTTTTATATAAACTCTAACTCTAAACTCTGGACTGTTGTCTCTGGCAAAAAGCATGCTAGTTTTATGTCTCTTGTATCACTCTGCTTACTCTTTCTTCTCACATAAGTAAATAATTTAAACTAAATCAGTATTTTATATCCTTATTGTATTTATTCACTTTGTAATAAATGTGTAGCTATATATTAAACAGGATAACAAGGTCAGTCATTGTTGCTTTTATTTTTGATCAGTTTAATTTGTCTTTGCTGAATAAAAGAATGAAAAAAAGTACTTAAAAAATTGTACTTTTCAAAAGTTTAGTAAGATTTAAAAAAAAAATTATACTTTTATTCTGTTTATCAAAGTGTCCTAAAAAATTAGCATATTTTTCCCCAAAAAATGTAAGAAAATTCTATATATAATTTCTTGTTGGTACTGTATGTTGTTCCTGTCTCTCACACACACTACAGTAAAAGATATAAATTAGTTTTTTTTGTTTGTTTTTTGGTGAAAATACTAATGGCCTAAGATTTTTGCATAGTAGTTTATACATACATATACATAGCTGCTCTTTTCCATACAATCAAAGTGCATTCACTTTCACTGAATGGCTAAGAGTTGGTTAGTACATCTATGCATACACACACACACAGGTTAGGTTTCTAGAAAAGCATCTTGGAGACGTTACCACAGTTCTTCTAGATTTAGTCTGTCTGTACAGCAAAAGATAAAAATAACTGGCACTTATGGGCAAGGAAGCGATTTTCTTCACCTAAATTCCAGGAGGTCGTAAATGTATCGGGTGTCAGCATTGCTATGGAACCAGGGGCCTGTTCAGCTTCCTGGGGTGTTACAGAGTATTTGTTAAATCTAGCTAACAAAATATATATTGTGTGTTTGAGTGGTCCAGACGCTACAACATTAATCATAAAACTCGCTCTTATTGATGTGTAGAGCAACACAGACAAAACTGATTGGTGGATCATTTTTATTAAACTCTCTTGTTTTGTCTAATTGCTGGGACAGCTTTGCATCTGCTGGGATGTTCATATTGTGAGGGAATGTACTTATGAATGTGGCTTGGAGAATGCTTATTATTTTAACATGGTAAATTTATTTACAGACCTATAGACATTTTCATTTGTGATGATTTTTATTGACAAAACATGTTTACAACTGCATAGTTGGTTACTTAAACCAATAATTACAACACTAAACTGA